GACATTTAAACTGAAAAGGAAATTTGAATTATATTGCAAAAAGTAAAATTAATTTTGATTTCCGTTATTAAAATCTAAGATTGTTTTTACGATGGCATAGTGCTTATACAGTAACTCGGAGGGGTTACCCTATGTCGCATTGAGATATTCTCAATTATCGAATACATTTTCGAAAACGAAATCGTTAGTAATGTAAACTTTCTAATTTGAAACAATAACCATTTCTAAAATACTTGATTAGATTTGATTGGAAAAGCATGATCTAAAAGGCTATACTCTCCAGGCTGATGACTGAAAATACCCAACCACCAAAAAATTGCACGTTTTTTTTTTTTTTAAGGAAACCGTCTAACTCCTCCCACCCAACCCATAGAAAACAAACAAAACCAAAAGAAAACAAAAAACCAACCCAAAGCAGAAGAGATCAATTTACAATAAGAAATGAAATGGGATAGAACGTCCTGCAGCAATGAAGACAGGATTTACAATAAGTCAAACGATCCACGCGAGACAACTCCATTTTGCATGCCTTCATTGCCAATAGAAACCCTGTATAAATCAGCTATTTCTGCAAATATCAAACTATTCTCTTCTCTAAAATTCATATTTTACTACGATATCGAGATAGTATTTACATAAATACGATGGGGGTTTGAATAGGCAATGACACTTTGTTCACCAGTTTGGTCTAAGAAGTATTATAGGATATATTAAAGAGCATTATGTACGAATTACATAAATAGCTGGCCGTTTTCTCTATAATATTTCAAAAATAGATAACGTAAAATGAATATATTGAAAATTTCATTCAGTTTACTTTATTTTGAGCAAAGTTATCAATAGTTGTAGTTTTGACAAGATGTGTGCATTGATCGTAACCATAGTACTGGTCATTCGAGTCTTAGCCGTTGTAATCTACTTAGAATCGGAGCCATCCGTTGATAATTTATATAACTTATAAAGCCCAAAAGAAAGACCTGCAATAATGCCTGTTTAAAGCGCCCAATATAGTATTATATTTTTTGTAGTTAAGTCAATTATTTTATTGCTAAAGAAAATGTTCAAAAGCCTCCAGTGTAGTGCTATTTTGGTTTTTAATAATGTATCACATTTTTGTGTACATGTATGTAATGTAATAACTCATCACATATGAATAATATAACTTATACAACTTTAGTTCTATATGAGCCCCATTATCTTGGTTTCTATACAAAACTTTCACTGTTGGCCATACAATAGATAATATATAAGAACAAAACTAGATTATTCAAATTGTAGCAGAATAAAACTTTACGTCCAACTATCTACCCGAGACACTTAAAGTCACATAGAAATATAAATATTTATATAATTCTATGTTTAAAGCCAACCTCGTAGATTTTCTCCAGGTCCTCCCACTGCTAAAGACCCCTACGCGCAAGCGAATTATTGAAATAAAAAAATGAAACCATATGTTAGTCCCGAAATGACCTAGTTTGTGTCGAGTGGACATTAAATCCCATCTCTCTCTCTCTCTCTCTCTTTAAAGCTTTGCGACATAAATAAAACGTGTCATAATACTGATTTTATTATGACGTCACAATTAAGGGCTGAGCATTTCGGTGACTTCACTTACGATTTTCACAAATAATAGATTAATAATAACAGAAAAACAGAAAAATTAGTTCCAGATTAATAACTGCTAATATATTTCAAAGGTGGGTACGCATTTCGTTTTTATTCATTTTTTTCATGTTGAATTAAGTGTTAGACAGCGATCCATTACGGAGATTATCACATTTTCAATCAGGGCTGTTTCGACGAATTACAAATTTCTTCCAATCTATGATAGACATGTGTTCATTGTTTTTAAATTAGAGTACCATAATTTAATGAAAATAGTATAGGAATCTAGGTAAGATTTATCAAAAGGCATTTAAATATCCCGAAAGTCGATGACAAATAGATCTACCCATAATCGGTTGTGCAATACTAATTTGATTTTTTTTTATCTTTTTTTAAAAATTTTTTAGATGGAAAAGGGCTTTGCAAAAATGAATGGATTAGTAATTCCAAAGCCATACGGTAAGTAAATGCTTATAAACGAAAACAATTATAGAAAAACAGTACATACGGAATAACTTAATTTATAAACTGAAGTTCCTTAACGAATATCGAAAGTACTGTGTTGACGGTGGCTCGGTGAGTAAGGCGCTGACTCGCTAAGCTAGAGAGGTCCAGGGTTCTGCCTAGGTGGTGGCCGAGAAAGATCTTCTGGATTTTCGGATGGGGCACATAGGAATTCGAAATAAGATTAGGCTGTAGCGTTGCTGGAGCAGAAAAGTAGGACGTTAAACCCCATTTCATTTCTCTATCGAACATGTCTTTGAAATGTTTTTGATTTGTCTTAAAATTATTACAGATCTTGAAAAGAGATTGGAACTCTTTAAAACATTAACAAATACAGTTCAACAATTGGATAAAGAGGCAGAAATAAAGAGAAGACCTAAAAAAGCTAAAATAAAGCTTAGTGCTAAAATGGAAGAAATAATTGTAGAAGGACAGATGGCTAACGAGACAGATTATGTTCCAAAATATCAAAATAAACCTCGTCGTCGACATACACAGACTGTTAAAAATATCATCCCATCTATTGATATTCCTGTGGTTAGTGTAGATGAGCGTTTTACTGATATTTGTTTGGATACTGACAGAGGTAGGACATTTTCTTTTTAACAGGAATTTTTTTTCCCTGATAAGATAACCCTTGAATATTATTCAGATTACTTTTGTTAAAAATTACGTGCTATATTTTAAAACCGGATCGGAATAATTAGCGCAATATCCACGGCTGTATATATATAAATTTGCAAAGAAGACAATTAACACGCCCATCTAAAGAAAGTGCAAATCATATATCATACCGAAATATTGTAATCTTTACTTAAATTAAAATATTTCTAAATTCACATAGAATGGAGCCAGCGATTGCCAGGCAAGAAACGTCAACATTTTGCAAGAGATGGATAGAGAACAAGCTAAAAAACAAAAGCGATTTTTCGCACAATCAGGGGCGATAATCCAGAAAGTTATCGTCTGAAATGTGCAAATATCGTAGGAGTCTGAGATCTTTGGGATATAAAGATATATTTTAAATTTCATCAAAATTTGGATAAAATTGTGACCTCTAGAGGGTTCACAACCTTCGTATTACATACTTCTACACAATTTGCGTACAAACATGTTCGTAGCTAGTCCAAAATTGTTGAAGGGGGGGGGGGGGGTATAGGCTTCTGGGTACGCCGATACACTAGTGTGTTCTCCCCCCAGAAAATTTTGGAAAATAGGGTTTGCACCTGAGGGTTCACAACCTTCGTATTACATACTTCTACACACTTTGCGTACAAACATGTTCGTAGCTAGTCCAAAATTGTTGAAGGGGGGGGGGGGGGGTGTATAGGCTTCTGGGGACGCCGATATACTAGTGTGTTCTCCCCCCAGAAAATTTTGGAAAATAGGGTTTGCACCTGAAATTGATTATGAAGTTGAAATTGATTATGAAGTTGAATTTGATTATGAAGTTGAATTTGATTATGAAGTTGAATTTGCGGTATTGGCGTATTATAATATTTTCATATGAGAGAGAGAGAGAGAAATGGGGTTTAACGTCCACTCGACACAAACTAGGTCATTTCGGGACTAACACATAGTTTAATTTTATTTCAATAATTCGCTTGCGCGTAGGGGTCTTTAGCAGTGGGAGGAAACCGGAATTTTCATATGAACATTATAAAAATTTGAAGGAATGAATACGACTTAAACGTACCTATAATAATTTATGACAAAAACGAAAAGTTCGGAATCGGGTTGAAGTGCGACTTGTTTGAATTTTGTTGATTATCATGCTGTTTTGGGCACCTAACAAATCTCGCTTGGCATTATGGGCACCCCGCCAATTATATTTATATTATTGGCGCCCATGATCTCCGCCCATTGATCAAGTCGTGGGCGCCCAACCAATCTTACTCGGCATTATGCGTGGCCCGACAATCAGATCTTGTCATTAATGGCGCCCCAACAATCATGTCATTACGGGCGCCCCTACGAGATAAGGCATCACACAGGTCAAGCCGTTTTGGGCGCCCCATCAATCAAGTGGTGGTGTTAATCGTTTGAGTCATTATGAGGCGCCTCATCATTTTGGGGGCGCCTCATATATAACGACATGATTGTCGAGGTGCCCTTTTTGTCGGGCGGTTCATTTCGATTTTCCGCAAGCTAAAAACCACGATTTATGGTACAATCACGGGCTATATTCGGGACGTTAGTCTTGATATGCGCGAATATCGAAAGCAATCAAGATCTTTGGGATATAGGCCTAACCATGTATTTCAAGTTCCATCAAATTCGGATCAAAATTGTGACCTCTAGGGGTCCACAACCTTCATATATCATATTTTTTTTTACACTATTTGCGTACAAGAGACGGCCATTTTCTCCGGCAGTTTTGGTCCAAATTTCACAAAATTCGAACTCAACCGACATTTCGGTGTAATGGTGATATATTTGAACGGTTTTGTAAATCGGATAATAATGGTTACCCCTAGAGGGACCACAAGCTAAAAACGCGATTTTTCGTACAATCAGGGGCCATAATTCCTAAGTTACGCATGCAAGTCTAAGTAACGGAAACTGTTCATTTTCAGGTGACCTCAAAGAAGCAAGCACAGATGGTGAAGTAAAAGAAAAGATTCAACATAAGAAGAGTTTGGGATATCGTATTAGAAGTTATTTATCAAAATTCTTATGCTGCTCATATGATCTTACTTAATAAATTTATATGAATGATCCTACCAGTGTTTTTTTTCAGCTTTATTGATGATATTGAGAAAAACTACACCCTTTAAAATGTCAAAAAGGAACAATCTGTATTCTTCATTGGACATTTGCTGCCTCTTATTTTAAGAGATTTTGGCCCAAGGCTTGAGGGGTAGACAATACTGCTACTAAACAAGTCAAAGTATTATAAATATATTTATTTATTACAACCCCAATAAAACATAATGATAAAAATATGATTTTCTCTGTATATAAGTAGATTATTGTATCTGATGACAACTTATTCATTTGTGTGAAATATTGCACATTGAGATATAATTCTAGCCAAGGTAGCTGACTTTATTGAACATGAAGTTTTAGTATACTTTACTAAATGATGATGATAAATGATCACAAATAACAAAGCAACAGTGAACAAAATAAAAATATTAAAATATTAAAATTCCTTGAAGCATATTGAAGTTTTAGCTTACTAATTGATGGTGGTAAATACAGTAAACAAATGAAAAATATCTAAACAAATTGGAATTCCTTGGTTCAATAGGAGCACATTAAATCTGAATTTTTTTTTTTATCTGTTATGTAAATGTGCTTTACACAATAATCATACATGTACATAGCACTCTTAACAGACCCACAATAACATAACAATAATATAAATCCCTAATATATGTTAATCTGTAAAATATATATCAGTTAATTGTTTTCTAGTATCTTCTGGACTAGTTACTGTATGACCTATTGTTCTATTATCTTCATAGATTTCATGATCATTACCTCCCTGTAATATAATGAGAACAAATCATATTATATTAAGCATAGACTTGTTTTCAATTGAAATACATTAAAACGTTTTAACACAGTTTGTCTATCTTGACCAAAATCTAAAACAAAAATATTATCTACATATAAATGAAGAGCCATGGGGAAGAACAATCTAAGTCACTTGTTCAACGAACCCCAGTTAATGGCGCCATCTGGTAGCAAATTGTATAAGCTTTCTGTGAACCACACTCAATTTCAGGTAAAAACGATCGGAGTCACATCGAACCAAGGCCCATCTGATATGGCCTACCAGACAAATACCTCCATCGTACCCTTCATTTGATCTTAATTTGGCTTAAAAGTGGAAGTCAGTTGTTGTACTGGTAATTAGGATTCATATTAACCATCATTTTGAATTTGTAATAAAACCCACTCGTTTTTTCTGTTTGTGTCAAGCATTCTCGTCCAAAAATCTGTTTTGCCTTTTATGCGAAAAGACAAAAATGTGACTTAGATCGTTCTTCCCCTGGACTCTTCAAATAGATTAGTATGAATGTAGGCTGGACAACTACCAACAACCAGTTGTGACAACTGATTCTGGTTTGTTTCAGTACTAGGACCAATAATGGGCGTCCTCGCTAGAGATAAGGGGGTATAATTTATAGGTGTACATGCATTATGATCTGGTGTGTTGACAAACTTTAGTTTTTGATGTTGCAATGGAATTTAATCCCGATACTTCGAAATACATTTATTTTATTCTGCACATATTTGGGCAACCAAATTGTAATTAAGACAGTCTTATCAAAACTTTCCAGAAACAGATACTGGCATCACAATATTCCTGATGCCAGGAACCACCAACTACATGCATATTACAGACAGACCCTTATCATAAACAAGATATGTGGAATTGTTGTAACCCATCTGTAGTATAGTAACATGCATGCTAGCGAGTCATTCGATAGTGAAGTCCAAGAGAATTATACTGAACATTCCAGTATTGTCTATATTTGGCAACAAAACATACAAATACCTTTTGAGTTTTATCACCAAAGAAATGAATACTTTTATATCCTCCTTTTTCCACATACTGCAAACAGTATGTTTTATCCCATCCAATAGGAAAGACATCTATACTAATCTGTCCACCTATAGCAAACTGTAAACCAGCATCAGGGAATGTTTTATACAATTCTGCTACAAACTTTTCTCTTATTTTGTTTTTCTGTAATGAAAAATATTGTAACTGAATACCAATACCCGGGACGAAAAAACAAGGTCTTGTGCATGTAAAAAAAAACAAAACGACCTGTCTGGGCAACATTTCCCTCACCATTTGGCTACAATGTCTTCATTAGCCCACTTGGAGCAGAACAGAAGGACGCAAAACCTCATTTCATTTCATTTATAATATTCCAAGTCTAAATACCGTAAAATCTACTTACTGAATCAAATTCTATAAATTGATTTCTTTCAGCTTGTGAACAGCTTCTACCAACAGGACATATATTTAGCATACTACTGCGAAACTCAACAAATGTACCTCTGAAGTAAAAATATAATTATAGCTAAATATAATCAAATATACAAAATGTTGATTTGATATACTTAATTACATTTTATTACATATTATAAAAATGCATCTTATAGTGAATTTTATTGTTTTACATCCCCCTCATTACCTATTCTTGCATATTAAATATTTCCATGACCAGTTAAATGGTATCAATTCAGATTTCAATGTATAATGTTACCTTTTACATGGTAATTGTAACTGAGACATGTACTGTAGTGCAAAGTTTATAATCTTCTGTAATAGTTCTTCTCCACATTGTTTTAATATATTCTGAAAACATACATTGAAACAATTTCTTTTTAATATGTGAAAGCCCTGTCATAAAGAATAAACAGTAAATACAGACATAAGAACATACAAATAGTCGTATCAAAACAATATTGATAAAAACAAAAAAGAAAGAATATTAAAATAATATCCTAATGTAAATTATGGCCACTGATTTCACACCACCATACCTGTTAGATCATGCCTGAAGGATAACATATTTCTATCCATGAACATCAAGGTCAAGACTACATGTAAACTTATATTGCTTTTTTAATAGTCTAAATTGTTATCTATAGAATATTTTTCAGCTGTTATTTTGTTAAATATAAATATGAAAAATGTTTATTCACCTTCTGAATCTGATGCATTGTGGTAGTAAAAAAAACCAACAACATAAGAAAAGTATACCACATATTTAAATTTATACCACATATACTTGATAAATTTATTATCCTACCTGTTGGCCTATTTGTTCACCTTCTTTATAGGCTACTAAACCATTTTCAGCAAACACATAATCAAACTTTTTAATAATAACTGAAACAGAAATAAAATAGCAATATATCAGACACACAGTATCAATCTATACAATATTCAAATAACTATAAAGCCTAATTCACTACCTCTATATGTAAATTGACATGATTACCGTTTTGTAAAAAGGAATTAGCCTAGAGATTAACATGTGAGCAATTGGCGTCATTTTCCTTCAATAATTCAAGCAAAGACAAGTTTAATCTAAAGACTGTAAATATTGCAGAGTGTTTAGTGATTTTTGCTAGCATGATGGCTGGTACCAGAATCATTTCAACTACACTGGAATTTATAGTATGTGTCTTCTGCACTTTTGTAGATTAGCTGTTTTTTTATGGTTGAAGAAATGTTTTGAAGCCAAGCAATGAAATCAAATGTTTCTATTTACTTCATATTATAATGTAGAGTTTTAAATACATGAAAAATGTATGAATTATGAATGTAGTTACAGGGGAGACAACTACAAATAACGAATTCTCAAGGGGTCACAATTAACAAGAATTCATTTAAGATACCATATTTACTCACCATCTTTATTTCCACCCATTTGTTCCACAATTTTAACTAAATCTGATCCACCAACAAGACCTACAGCTACTCGAGTTTTTAACTTATCTAAAAAATCTTCCATTTCCGGCTTGATAACCTAGTATTAACAAACATTGTATGGTTAGTGTATTGAATTATTCAATCTGATTAAGATATAGAAACAAGGACTTATGTCTGTAGGTTGAGACAGCATATCTGTACTGCTAGTGAATAAACTTGTATTCAGTTTAGCGTCCAGTTAAACCAGACCTGTCAGATAACCTGTTTTTTCTATGAGACTCACAGATCTCAAACACATGGGAGGTCATTTATCATGGAAAATAGTCATGTCCAATTCTATTTTTAATTTCACTAAGGGATGTTATTGTTTTACTTCATTTACATAAATCTGCCTTCAGATAGGCCAAACTGTTAGTAATGGTAAAGTATGAACGTACTGACGAAAAAGACCACTTAGTGACATAACAAAAATCAGATTAACTGACCTGCATGTTTATTTCTTTTTTCAATGCACTAAAATCTAGATAAATGTCAAAAAATTGTTAGAAAAAATCTGGTGCCATGTCACGTCCAATTTGACCATCTTTAACTCTGACCCTAGTGAACTGTATGCACAATATGCATGTAGGTAATGTGAGACAGGACAGAGTGAGAATTATGGACAATAAGATAGACTATGCTACTTTTTTTATTTTTTTGTTATTTTTAAAAACCCACACACACGATTTCTGGTACACAATTTCTGAAGAAGTTGTAATGAAATTACCATCATAAAATATCATTTGACAAGAAGCACCCATAAAAAAACAATAAAATTAAAATGAAATTTTTAAGAATACTGGTACACATAGTAATTGTCTAAATTATTAATGTACGCAATGGCAATGGGTAAAACAATAAAAACGTCATCTATAACATTTTATTTTATTACGAAAAACTTAAAACTGAATAAAACAGAAATTATCAGTTTCAATAAAACATAAATTATTAGGCCTACTGTCTGAACCTCCCTATTTTTTAAACGGATTTCTTCGATTATGAACAAACTATTTAACTTTGGTTACAATAAACTTACCTGTTTGCTTGAAATCAACTTCGGTTAAATAAAACCCACTGCACAATTAAATATCCCAACGAATAAAAAAGTTCTCTCTTGAAAAATTGAACTCCCACAAACTTTTGACATCGGGTAATACCAAAATGGCGCCTGATTACGTCACTCTTCGGGAGAGATCATTTTGTATAAAAGGGTGACAGCGTGCCACATCGAAACGGTTTGCGGTACATTTGCAATTGAAGGCATAAGCTATCAGTCTCGGCTGGGTATTGAGAGAGAGAGAGAAATGGGGTTTAACGTCCACTCGACACAAACTAGGTCATTTCGGGACTAACATATGGTTTAATTTTTATTTCAATAATTCGCTTGCGCGTAGGGGTCTTTAGCAGGGGGAGGAAACCGGAGGACCCGGAGAAAACTCACGAGGTTGGACAGGCGACCCTACTCCTTGTCAGGTACAACCGGGGATTCGAAACCACGCCAGTCGACTCAATGACAGACTTTATGATACAGCGCGCGCCCGCTAACCATTCAGCCATCCAACCCCCCGGCTGGGTATAAGGTTTGGGCGTTCACACATAACTGTCCGTATCCCTTTATTTTGTTACCATCTTTTTACATTCTAGTAAAATCCCTGTTTATAGATTTCCTTTTGAAATTTTTGTTTTAATTATTTAATAAGTCGGACGGGAGTATTTTCTTTTGAACACAAATGCGCACAAAAATGTTGTTGTTAAATCATTTATAATAATAAAGAAGATAGGAAAGATTTAGTTTATATATGACTTTACATGTATTTATACGAGTATTCGTGCAATCATTGATATTTTCATTGTAGAGAGAGAGAGAAATGGGGTTCAACGTCCACTCGACACAAACTAGGTCATTTCGGGACTAACATATGCTTTAATCTTATTTCAATAATTTGCTTGCGCGTAGGGGTCTTTAGCAGTGGGAGGAAACCGGAGGACCCGGAGAAAACCCACGAGGTTGGACCCTACTCCTTGTCACGTACAACCGGGGAATCGAAACCCTGCCAGTTGGCTCAATGACAGATCGTATGATACAGCGCGCGCGTGCTAACCATTCAGCCATCCAACTCTCCCGAAATTTTCATTGTGAATAAAATTTGGTAGACTGGCCATCAATGGTTTCTATATAAATCGTCTATGTAATTGCCTTCAGTTGATAATTTTCTTCGCCCAAACTCAATCAATCGAAACGATTGCGGTTTGTTTTCATTGCAACACATGATTGTCCAGTTATTTTACTTGTAACGTTAAACTGTGTGTTTAACGTTACAATTGATACGGTCTAAGACTCCTTACGCAGTTCAATTAGGTTCAGATGCACAATTGTCAACACATATCATTATAGCTTGTATTGGAATAAGTAATTCTATGACAAATAGTGAAGGCTGGACCACTAAAATATTTACCGAACAGTTTTTCTTTGGGGTTATGCGTTCTACATTTGCATAGCGATGTTTCTTGTAATGACGTATTACGCAAGCCGCCATGACAGCGGCCAGTTGAAATTTCGCGTAGCAGTTCGGTTTCATCAAATCATATAATTATGCGGCAAGGTTTCACCTATATTTCAATGGGAATTGATTTATTATATGTTAAGATATGTGCAGTACTGTTTTGGGTCAGTTTATGTGTGAATTAAGGGAGCTATAGGCTAGTTACCTTTTTGTAGTCATTTGACTAAAAAACTTGCCCAAAGGAACTCTGTAGGACGAGCCACTACTGTGGCTGGAGTAAGGCGGAAGACATCAGTAGTGGAACCATTTCTAGTGGTTGTCAAACTCTCTGCAACAAACTCATTGGTTTCACCCAACACTGACGAAAGCAGTGCTGTCTTGTACTCAGTCAAAAATATAAGTAAAGTAGCTAAGTCTCGAACTCAATATCATCAAAAATCTTTGACATTGAAAACACAAAGTATTTGCCAATTCAAATCAACATTGGTCTTGTGATCTTATAGGGAAAAGATGGGCTTCTGATATCCAATATTCAAGACAAAATAGACATTTTACCATTGGTACACGAATCGTGTACCATAATGCGTTTCAGCGCCATTTGGAAGAAGGGACTCAAAGAACGCCGCTAGACATATTCCACAACTCATATCAAATGGTGACGCTATGTTCTTATCTGGAGAGCATACGCAATAAATATAATCGGTGTAGACTGGAATAACCAGACGCTAAAGATGACCATTCCATAGAAATGACCATGATTAGAAATTACAGTAAAAACAGAAACGGTTGAATGTAAATCAATTTATACATTCACATTACATTATTATATGCGTTGCGACCCATTTGTGTCAATTTCTAGGTCCCAAATATTAGCTCCTTGAAACATGTCAGATGTCAAATTTTTCAAAAGAGAACTTTTTTATTCGTTGGGATAGACCTATTTAGTTGTGCAATGGGTTTTATTTAGCCGGAGTTGATTTCAAACACACAGGTAAGTTTATAATATCCAAAGTTACATAGTTTGTTCATAATCGAAGAAATCCGTTTAAAAAATAGGAAGGTTCAGAATCAGACAGTAGTTAAAAGTTTCATATTCAATGGTCAGCTATCGATGATGATTATGAATTTATGATGAAATTTTATAACAATTTTACATCAGCAAATTTAAAAGATTATGAATTTTTTCTCTATGGCATGATGATGCATGACTGAAAAACTGTTGAAACTATTATTCTAGTTATACATGTTTAATTATTTTACCTGTCGAGCGGCTGTAAGGGTGCCATCTACATCGAAAAGGCAGATAGTGGACGTGTCACGTTGCGAGGCCATTTTTGTAAACTTCCGACTGAAACTACCTCCACCACTGAAAAGTTTTTCCGGATAAACATAGTCGAGATTATCACACAACTTAAATAGCGCGCTACGGAAGACCATTAGGGTCAATCAACGTCTTCCGTACTACGGAAGCCCATTAGAATCAATCAAATGAAAAAAAAATCTGATTATCTTTTAATTACAAGATAGGCTACCCTGTCACACGTCGTGGGGTGATAGGCCTACGAATAGCACCAACTTATTTCATAACAACAAGAAATATATTAAAAATAACACACTAATATGGATATACTACTTCTGAATTTTATTAACATGCTACGTTTCAATACTCATACAGGTATCGTTATCAAGCAAATAATGATTAATTAACAAAAACGTAGTGCAATATATAGATAACCACCTTGGAAGCCATTTAGCAGATAAAACAATAACAACAAATTGATTAACAAGATGAAAGATCTAATATATAGACAACAGGTAGAAACCATTTAGCAGATAACAAACACAACAACAACAATTAATTAACCAGATCAAAGATCACAATTTGAAACCATTTATAACATAAACCAATGACCACAATTAAATAACCAGTACAAATATATAGATAACAAGTGGAAACCATTTTAGCAGGTAAAAGAAAAAGAAAAAAGAAAAAAGAGAACAGCAATTTGGGGGGGGGGGCATTAACCACACAGTAATTAGGGATTGAGTAATAGATTTGGGAGAAAATGTCCTGAGTCTCTGTTTAAATTAGGCTTATGTTTCTGGATTTCTAGGGCTTCTCTGAGAATTATGTTTTTCCATACTGTCAAGTTCCTGGGTAGAATTTCCGTCTTTTCCCATTTGATTTCATGCTGCGGATTTTTGAAAATATGTTCTGCAATTGCAGATTTATTATATTCCTGCTTCCCAACTGTGGTGTTATGTTCTTTAACATGTTAAACGAAATGGCAGAATAAAACAACCCCGAGACGACCCAGATGGTGTTATATATAAAATAAAATGTGAGTGTAATGACGCATACATTGGAGAAACGTCACGTCCGATATCAGTGCGAATTAAAGAACATAAGAGTAGGCCGTAGCGCCGCTGTCCGGGCAAAATTTCTCTCATAGCGCACTGTATGGCGTATGCCCGTCTTCATTAGCCCAGTTTAGGAGCAAAACAGTAGGACGTTAAACCCCATTTCATTTCATTTCATTTCGTAAATTTGTGCGTTACACTTTCAATGAAGTCCGCCAAATCGGTTAGAAGACGGAGACGTATTTTTAACAGCGTGTTGTGTCGCTCATACTGGTTCTAGCGAGGTAAGCAAGGTCTTATTTTCTCACTAAGATGTTCATTTATATTGTTCAGGCGTTCACAGGGGCTGACACGCGACCGTTTAGCAGTAAAAAGTTGCCCAGTAAAATTGACTGGGAAAGCGATTTCAGTTTCGCCAAGGATTCAATAGGACAGTCCCTGAACGTACAGGCCGAGTGTAATGAGACCTACGTTCAGAGCTGAACTAGAGCTAAATCTACCTAATACAGGTCTTTCTTTAGACCTGAAATTTTATCGTAATTATTAATTCGACATTAATTAACTTATCCAGACCATAATCAACTCTCGATGTCATCACTAGCCTGCGATATTTACTGGATCATGATCCGATCTGCTGCTCCCCGCCCATGCATGATTAAATCAAGAACTGAATAATCGAGACTATGTAGTTTATCGTACCGACTTTAGTAATGACGATCGAGGCTATTGCGAAAATTCAATAGCTAAATTATTGGTTCAGAGTCAATCAATTTGACTGAAATTTTCAGCAAATCCCCTTTACATTATCTAGTTTTTAACTATTATAGTGAGAACTGCCATCTCTTCATTTAATCTCCCATAATGTATCTTTAACATAATTAAACACAACAGTTGTATGGATAAACAATTACTGTATTTTAATTCGGAGCTACGTTTCTACAATAATTCTCTTGGTCTTTTTCAAGTACAACACTGATACAGTCGGAAAGAACGAAATATTATGTACAATGTAGCTCCAATTAAAAATACAGTATTTTAATATGTTCAGTTATTAAATGCCATTTAATGAGTATAAACAGCAACTTACTTTAAAGAATTCAAATACCGGTCCGGAAATGAAGATTAGCGCAACTTTCAATTTCACTATTACGGTCGATGCTGTGAGTAGAAAACGATAATTTTGTGTTATGTTGTACTGTGTACCACAAAATCTTTCTATATTTGCTCCACAACTTACTATACTAAATATGCCCTGCTTATTAACATGTGAATATCTTGTTACACATTCAAAACTGCTTCGACAGGACACCTTACTAATATTATGTGTTATAGGATCTGTATTTTAATCAGATTGCAAATTATACAGGTAGACGAGTTTTGCAATCTATAAAAAACAGAACCTTTAAACATATGGCGCTTCCACTGTTTACGTAACCGTTAAATATATACCAAATCTGTTGCCATATTATTGTATAGTTATTGGGCCACGTGTAATATAGACTAATCTATGAATGAATAACATAACAGTGATATAACAGTCCAGTGGGTCAATAAAGTTCATGTTTGAACTGATCATCTCGCACCAGATTTGTGAACTGATCATCTCGCACCAGATTTGTGTATTATAATTTACATATGTTAATGGTAAACACAAGAAACTGTTTTTGCAGATGGATATGTCAACAAGCTATGTTCTTTCACATTTCATGTCTGTTAGTTACGTCTAAGTATCTATTTTCATTCCTATACGAAGCAATCTGATTAAAATACAGATCTTTATTTCGTTTCGTGTTTTTATACATTCGATAGCCTCCATTTACATCACAGTGACCTTGACGAAAATTAAACTGGCCTTAACAAATAGATTTAGCCCATTCAGCCCTTCCAGATCGTAGTAAAGACATGTAAAACAAAATTTTGAACTATAAAAAACGACACGAAATAGGATCTGTGTTTTAATCAGATTGTATACGAAGCTAAGTTAAAAATACCATAGATTTGGACTCTAGTTTTACGGTACAGATCAGCTTTTCCGAATAATCTTGTATCCTTTTAATCAAAGTAAATTTTGATCAAAAATATTTACGTCGGCATCTTCATCACTATGCTTAATGAATAATTTGATGATGAATCATAAGTTATACTTTAGACACTCAGGAATATCAAATGCCCAATTAAACAGGTTGTCAGGTAACGAAACAAACGTCCACCACAGCTAAATCGTCCGGACGGTCGACAAGGGTTTATTCTTTTGCAGGTAATTGGGGGCATTTACAAGATAATTTCATACAGATCAGATTATAATTTTCGTCGTTTGAGGGTTTGACAGGCTTTTTCGTTTTACTAATTTGAATAATGCATATAAATTTCATACAGATTGGATGATAACTTTAGTCATTCGAACATTCACAAGGTTCACAAAGTAATTAACGGAAATTGCTGAAATTCTATAGGCTTCTTCAGTTCACTAATTTAGATAATGCTTACAAATTTCACAATGATCGGATGATAACTTTTGACAGAGCATTCACAACGTTCAACAAAGTGAAACAAGGGCCATAACTCTAGATGTAATTAACGGAAATTGTTGAAATTATAAAGGATTCTTCTTTTTTACTAATTCAAATGGCGCTTATAAATTTCATACAGATTGGCAGATAACTTTTGATGTTAGAGCGTTCACAAGATGCCACAAAGTGAAACGAGGGCCATTAATGTAGACGTAATTAACGGAAATTATTGAAATTAAATAGTTTTCTTCATCTCACTAATGTAAACAACATATATCAATTTAAAACAATCGGATGATAAGATTTTGGACGGCGAATGGACGGACGGAGGCGACGACAATATACGTCCACATCTCCATATGACCGATTAAGAACTACATTAGTCACCGATTCTGGGTTATACAGGATCCCTTCACCGATGGGATATATACGCTAAGTGGACTAGATGTGTTTTTCTGTTTAATTAGGGGACCATATCATATACCGTGGTGAATAAATCTTGTTAATTCCTCCGAACTATTTTAGAATAGCAATTGGACTATTTCTCCACGTTTTGTCATTTGATTTGCATACCTATTACCAGATTAAATGTGCAACGCGTGTGTAAAATGTATCTATATTCATGTATTTGATACCAATATATAGGTAATCTGCACTAATATCAATGACAAATATATCATATTTTCATGATACACATTTCAATAGTTTTTAAGTAGTTGTAAGGTCCTATTACATATATACTATTCAAAAAAAGTAGGGGATATTTGATTTTGGGGGCATAATACTAAAATATGCAAATGACTACGAAAAAAGTCACTATAGAACCTAACAGAAGAAACATTTCCAGTTACATGTGACGCCCAAACGCACCAATAGCTACCGCATGGAATGCAGGTGATGCTTGGGATCATCATGGGGGTCCAACCCAAGATTTGCACGACTCTGACTTTGAATGTTACAGTCATTGTGGCATTGAATTCCAGGGTGGAAACATCAGTTTAATTGTTTTAGTGACCAGAAAACAAATTTTGATATGCGTCGGCTTACCCAAAATGAAAGGTTACGTGCCCTTGGCATGCTACAGATCGGCACAACACAGGCGGTTGTGGCGCGGACGATGAATGTTTCTCAGTCTGTCATAAGCAGGCTATGGTCCAGATACCGTGATACACAATCTGTACAGGACAGACCACGCTCAGGTCGACCAAGGGCGACAACTCAAGCCCAGGATCGATTTATCCGTACCTTGGCCTTGAGAAATCGTGTCATCACAGCAAATCAGATCAGCGCTCGTCTTCAAACAGACACTGGTGTGAGAGTGAGTGGCCAGACGATTCGGAATCGACTGCATAGGGGTCACCTTCGCGCCCGACGTCGTTGGTGTAGGGATCGTCAACACTGGGATAATCGACGCTGGAGCAATGTGATGTTTTCAGATGAGTCAAGGTTCACTGTTGATTTTTTGGACAGACGTAGGAGGGTGTGGCGTCGTCGAAACGAGCGCTTCCAAGACGTTAACGT